GAGAGGCCACCGCTAGGCCAAACTGTAGTTAACTTGAGCCGCAAAATTCTCACACCCCTTCAGCATTCAATCTTTATTCCCACACCAAAGATAGCTAACTTGAATTATCTCCAACCATCCATTGAACGATTTCAACGAAATCTTAGCTGCACATATTTTTTTCGAAACCACCCCCACGTGTTGCTAGAACAATGTTTATTCCTAAATCCACGTGGACACCCCCTCAGGCCGACATCCATCCTGAAATATTGAAAGCATTTACGAGTATGAATAGCCAAACAGTGAACCTTTCCATAACACACGAAAAGCCTAATCTCACACAAGTGGAACGTGAAGCGTTAAACTCACTTAAGAAAGACGATAGCATTGTTATTAAAAAGAGTGACAAAGGTTCATGTTGTGTCATTCTGAATAGGAAGGATTACTTTTCAGAAGCAGAAAATCAACATAATAATTATAAACATGCCATTTTACCGAAACCAATTTTCAAAGAAACTGCTAACATGATTAATAATATTCTTGCCGATTTAGTCAAAACTAGTTATCTCAAACAGAAACAATATGACTATCTGTCTGCCAAACCTGATTGTCGCGAGAGACATTTGTACACTTTGACTAAAATTCTTAATAATCCAACCAAGGAGTGGTTTATCTCGAATAAAATCCCTAAAGGCCGCCCGATTATATCTGACTGTGGTAGTGAGTCATATGCAGTGTCAGAATACATTGATCATTTCTTACTACCTCTAGCATGCCAACATCGCGCCTACCTTAAAGACACAACCGATTTTGTCAATAAAATAAAAAATCTTCGAGTTCCCTCTAATGCTATTTTAATTTCTATCGACGTTTCTCCTATGTATATCAATATCGATAACACTACAGGTTAAACGGCAGTTCGTAAAGCTTTTATTAGAAACCCAGATCAAACAGACCCGACGATGCAAGTCTTCAGCTTTTAGAGATTTGTCTTACTCGAAACGATTTCACATTTAATGGTAAAACATATTTACAAACTTCAGCTATGGGCAAATGATTCGCCCCCTCATGGCAGGTGTTGCCCCTCTGGAGATTAAAGTGTATTTTAAAGAAACTCATCAACTCTTGCACAAGAGCTCCTTTCACCCAAAACATATCTTTTACAAGTTTTACGATTACATCGAATTTGTACAAGATCTTCTGATTTCAACCAAGCCTGTACGATTGTTTTCTAAAAACTGAAAGAGCGTGGGTACTCTAAACGATTTTTACGAAACATAAAAAATTCCACCTTAGCACAGATAGCACTGAGCAGCTAAAAACAGGCTTTATGCCGAAGTACCTCCAGGTTTAAGAAGTGCTCCATGTTAGTCCAGTAGATGCAAAACATGTCCCTTTATATCAGAAACTCATTATTTTGTAAGCAACTCTACGAATAAAAGGTACCCGATCCAGGAACATCTAACATGTGAACATTCGAATGTAATATATTTAATTTCATGCAAAAATGCCCAAAACAATATGTAGGAGAAACTAAGAATAATTTACAAACTCGTTTTAATGCTGATAGGTTAAAGATCAAATTAAAGATAGACAAGCGTGTTCTAATCATTTCAACTTCGACGACCACTCAATAGACGATCTCATCCTAATCCCAATTGAGCGCATAGAAATTGACTTGCCCGAAGATGAAACTACCAAATTCCGTCAATCTAGGGAATCCCATTGGATCGAGACATTGAATGCAGCAAGACCTATAGGACTAAATATTCACCATAATGTAGGTAGGGCACCCTTTGTTGTCCCTTTCAATACAACCAGCAATCGAGCAAGCAAGATAGTTCATGCCCACTATAAAAGCCTTCAAGAGAAATTCTCCCATGTCTATCAGCAGAAAATGATAGTTGCATATTCAAAAAATAAGAATTTAAATGATAATATTGTTCATAGTAAATTAAAAACAATCAGTACATAACAGATACTATACTTCTCGCCCATTGGCCGAGCTATGTTTTCTAATTTCAGATCAGAATCAGAACAGAAGAAAACCCAATATCAAGACCCTTAATCCTAATTTCTAAATAAAGTGTCTGCTCCACCCTAGGCCTGTACATTTGGGAGAATCAAACCCTCCCTTCCCCGAAAACCAAATACGTGCCGAGGGCAAAATCAAAGTATCAACAAACCAAATAAGTATAATATATATACTAAGCCTTCTAGGAGAGGCTTAATGGCATGAAGCTTGTTAGTGTCTGCAGCATCCCATCTTTGCTGCCATCGATGTTGAATAAAAGACCTTATCACCGATTAAAAATCGGTGAAAGGCAAAGAAAAGGGGGAAACAGGAAGTGACTAAGCAGCCTTAGCCGCCGCATCTGCCATGTCATTCCCCCGTATATCCATGTGACTGGGGAGCCAACAAAGGACAATGTCCTTTTTCGGCCCAGAGAGCTTGTATATATCCCCGATTATTGGGTGTTCAAGCTGGATGTTATAAATAGCTTGTAATGAGGACAAAGAATCAGAAAATATACATTTTTTTAATGATGAAGAGGACTGAAAGAACTCAAGTGCCTGTAAAATGGCAATGAGTTCTGCTGTGAAAATGGAGGCTGCTGATGGTAATGCTACAGATAGAACTTCGGATGGTGTAACTGTAAACAAAGCAAGTAAGTATAGAATGTAGATCAGAGTATCACCAAACCAAATAAGTATAAGAGGTAGATCATCGATCACCGGACCAAGTAAGTATAGGAAGCAGATCAGAGTATCACCAAACCAAGTGACTATAGGATGTATCTTCAGATTTTATAAGTATTGAAGGTAGATCATAGTGTTTGAAAGTAGATCATAGTATCGTCAATTCAAGTTAGTATTGAAGGTAGATCATAGTATCATCAAATCAAGTTAGCATTGAAGGTAGATCATAGTATCATCAAACCAGAGCTCTTATCAAAGCGTTTAGATTTACTAATGAAATCTTAGACTCCATTGAAGATAGTCATATTTTCATTTACAGGTAGACTTGTATCACCTTTTAGCATAATCCGGTTAATAAGATAACATTGGTTCAGATCATAAACTGATCGCTGATCATGATAAAGAGGGCAGTGAAGGGGGAAGTGTTCTGAGTCTTCGATTGTATGACCACATTGGCAACTGGGGTTTGTGGTCAGGTGTCGTAAGAACTTGTGGTAGCTAAATCGCTCATACTGTTTCGAATCCTACAGTGGTGTATTTGAAAAATTGACCAAGATGACATAAAAATATTGGAGATATGTTTTGTTTAAAAGTTGTTGAGTTTTGTGAGGAGTGTTTTATATGTTCTTGCAGCGGATTCCGTTGACGAATGGTTGATGTCAGAAAAGATTCGTAATAGAGGTTGGACTGGGCTGGGAGTCCATGAAGTTTTTGATTATTGCGTAGATTGTACTGAATTGAGTGGCCGGTTTCAGGTGTTATGAGGATGTTAAGATATGGTGGTTCTTGGTTGTTTTTCATCTTGAAGACGAGGTTCAGTTGATGTTGAGAGCGACGTTCTTCGAATTTTTCTCATATTGAAGAAATTTTATTAGTTTGAATTCAATTATGTATATTTATGCTGAGTAATTCCACAATTTTTTTTAATATCAACATTAATAACCCAAATGCAATAAATGATTAAATCACACAGCTCTAATCAAGGGCAAAAAAAACAAATTGACGCGATTATGATAAAGTCTGTAGTGGTTTAATATGTGAAACCAATCATCCGATTGTTACTAATTTCAAGCTTTACTCAGGTCTCATACCAACTTCTTCAAAAAACGAAAAAAAATGTAGTCTCTATCAGGCCTACGAGTCAAATTAGACGCACTGAATAAATTCAAAGGCCATAACTCCAAAACCATTCGTCCAATTATTATCATTTTTGAACTTGAGATCTCATCAATACCTACATGCATACCAAGTTTCATTGAAATCAGATAAAAACTGCACCCTTTATCATGACTACAAGCAAAATTTGAAGCGTTTTTAATTAGTCAAGGGCAATAACTTTGAAACCAATCATCTGATTAATATGACCAAATTCAAACGTGATCGAGATATTATCAATATATACATGCATACTAAGTTTCATCAAGATCAAGTAAATCTCTTAGCCTTTATCATGCATACAAGGCAAATTTTTTTTTACTAAGTCAAGGGAAATAACTCTGAAATCCGATTATTACCAATTTCATCAAGATCGGATAAAAATTGCAGCCTTTATCGTGCATACAAGCAAAATTTAACGTGTTTTTACTAAGACAAGGGCAATAACTCTGCAACCGTTCATCCGATTATTACTAATTTCGAACTTTTTATTTTTTTTTATTCAGAGATGATTTAAATTTGGTGTTTATTTGGGTGATGATATTATACTATTAAAAAAACATAATTGATTTCTGGGTAAGTATTATTTGTAATTAGTTAAGTGCAAGTTTAATTTTGATTTTATCCAGGAGAGGGTTAAAGTCGATTTCACTTTGTATGACTTCGATCTTGTCAGAAATCTTAAGTTTTAACAAAGATTGTCCCATCTTTTCTGTTAAAAGACATATGGTTCTTTATGCTAATGTTGAGTGTTCATTTGTTTTGGAGTATTTAAGGTGCTTGTTTTTATTTCTCTGTAAGGCGTTTTTTTTAGAGATCGAATCCTCTCAATTAAAAATGATTTTAAAGGGACAGGTTAGCCATCTGGTTGACCTACGGGAAACGGGAATTTCGCAGCTAAGCAAAACAGTAATAGTGTTCACATCTCACTGTCGAAATTCTTGTGTGTCCAGAGTTATCCGTGTTTGAAAGTTGAGAGTCGTCTTTTTTAAAGACTATGCCATATATATAAAGACATTATATAGAAATAAAAATTGAAAATTCCCAGTTTGAAATCTTTTTGAAGGAATAAGGGAATTTTTGTACATTTCTAGTACTTCTGAAGGCTATTTACATATATTCAAAACCAAATCCACCACCCAAAATGTCCCTTTAAATAACACAAATTATTTGTTACACACATAACCTGCCAACAACCGCAAATTTTGCCACACAAAATCATCGGGCGGATGAATGTTGTTATTTTCGAACGCTGTACTCATGTCCCAGATATTTAAAAACCATACTTTATCATGAAATTCGGCCAGTTCTCTTTTCAATATATCCATGTAAAGCTTGCCGTGATATATACTGAAATGTGTTGAACAACTAGTTACATAAAATACGTGCGGTGATTTGATTGCTATATGTATGTTCTTATTTCTCTTTAAGGCGTTTCGGATTGGTGTTTTTAGAGATCGAATCCTCTCAATAAAAGATGAATAATGCATTCTCATAAAATGAGCGTAGTAATGAATGATGAAAACCATACGTCCAGTACTCGGTGCCTCGTTCAACAGAACCGATGCCGGTTTTGAGTTCGTTTTTCCATCTGGTGCTACCAAACCCTCCACAAAGGGAAATTCTTGAACTGCCCATGTGAGACTAAAATTATATCGAGGAACCTGACAATGGGTTGACTTATACCACTTCCGATTCTGTTTACATTTAAAGACATTGTGTATATAAGTGTAGTATTGACGAACGGTCGAATCCCCAAACGCTATCATAGTTGTGTTCTTAAAACAATTAAAAAAGTTCTTCTTGTTCACAGGATTGTGGCATTTTGTATGTTCCCACACTGTTCCGTTGAAATATCCAGTGGGTTGTATCATGTTCCAGGTCTCACGACGGGATAGCTTGGTACAGTTAATCGTGTTTGGCCGGGGCTGGGATGTATGGCCTGAAAATAAAGATTGATACTTGATAGATTACCTCTACTGATACATAATAAAAATAATGATGTCAAAAAGATGTCAACGTCAGATAACAGTGAAATCTTAACAACACTTAACATGGCCACCATAACGTCATATGACGTCGCCTCCATGACGTTAATTTACGTCACCACCATGACGTTATTTGACGTTGCCATCTTGACGTCACGATATTGGCGTTAGCTGATGACGCCGCTATCGTGACGCTAGTTGACGTCTAACTCTTGATGTTAGTTGACGTCTCCATCATTGACGTTAGTTGACGTCGTCATTTTGAAGTGTATCTTCGCCATATTGGCGTAAGTAAGTTAACGTCGTCATCGTGGTGTTAGTTTACGTAGCCATATTGACATAAGTTGACATCGTTCCCTTTACGTTAGTTGGCGTCGCCAGCTTGACATTAATCGACGATGTGGACGTCAAAGTGTCGATTAATGTCATTAATATAGGCGGAGGAAAGAAGAATATTGGAATAATCCTTGGTGTTTTTGACATACATAAAAAGATGTTTTTTCATCAAGCAAACCGAGACCCATGAGAAAAAGTCTGGGCTGTACTCAACAACCGAATAGAGCATGGGGTCATTTCTATAATTACCTGATTCTATTTTTAACTTGATTTGGGATGAAATCATGATTTTTCTATCATGTCTAAAAAATAAAGTAAAATATCTTTAATTCCTTGTACTAAAGTATTCACAGTATCATGGAATTTTTCAGACATTGCATATTTGACAGGGTAGAATTCCACAAAAATTCTAGGTAAGAATGTGTTGTAAATTTAGAATTTCGCATTGAGAAATACCATACTTACGATAAACTTTATCGAACGGGAAGGAAATTGTGCTGATGTTTCTCAGCAATGCATCCCCCCTCCCACCCTTTGAAAATAATTCTGACAACCAACCAATTCAATTACTTCAAGTAAACACCATACACCATTGTCACACTGGATTTATTATTTCCCCTACGGACAACCATGCCTGGCTACGGGCCTGATGTTAATAGCCATAAAGACTATAAAAATACATTTGATATGTTTCCGTAATAGGGAAAACAGTGATTATCAACAACAACAATAAATAAACAAAAATAACCTCAAAAGAGTGAT